AAATACATACTACACATTATTCATTTTAAATACATACTACACTCAATTCATTTTAAAAACATACTACACTCAATTCATTTTAAATACATACTACACGCTATTCACTTTGAATACATTCTACACGCTATTCATTTTAAATACATACTACACACTATTCATTTTAAATACACACTACATGCTATTCACTTTAAATACATACTACACGCTATTCGTTTTAAACACATACTACATGCTATTCACTTTAAGCACGTACTACACGCTATTCACTTTAAATTCACAGCAAATAGATTCATTGGTGTAGAACCTCGGCTACAAGAGTTCCACAAAAGATGCATTTTGCTTCAAGTAAGTGGAACTGTAAGCAACAGGTTGTTATTGCTGACAATAAGTTGGCTTGGGTCTAAATCAAATTACATGAAAATTAGACCATTAAATTGGATATGAAACTAAAGTGGAAGAAATTTCTTCATACATGCCAAAATAATCTATATTTGAGGGCTTAAACATTATATGTAAGTATATTCATACTCTATCAACTATGGTAGACTTAATAAAAATAGTCCACTAGACAACAATAAAATACAAGACTTTGTGTATATAATGGATATAAATTTTTACAAATTATTGAAATTATAATTTATATTATATTTTACAGGACATCATGGATGAATAGTTCTCGCGGTTAAATATTAGTGATAGAGGGTCCATGTTCAATGTTAAAAGTGTATTTGGCATAGACAGCCCAAGAAAGCATCATGGAATGTGTCAATCATGTTACCGACTTGCTGGATTTTAATACAGAAGGTATGGTCTGTCTAATAGCTATGACCATTCTCAACATTGATGCTCCCCATGAGAGTCCTAGTAATATGCCACCAGCAGATGCCACTCTTGAAGAGATAAAATACTTCCTTAATGATGTTGCCACTGTTTTTGTAAACTATATTTGGCCTCATATTGACAATGACAATATCAATATAGTTGTAAATAATGATGATCTTGCTGATGTGGATAATGAAAAATAATACTCCATATGTAATGGAGAACGTAATTATAGTTGTATATACTACTTGTTAATGTGGACAGGCATGAACAGATACAAGGTCAAAATTATGGTTGCTGAAATATCTTTCTCTTTATTATTAGTTTTTCTGGTTGATTGGTTAGTTGTTTTTATTTATTTATTTATTTGTTTATTTATTTTGACCCATCAACAGCGAACACAGACTGCCAATTACAGACTACTATAAAAGCATTAAACAAGCAGAACTTTCGCTGCTTGTTTTCTTTTTATAATTAAGACGCTGGATGATTTAAACAAATTAAGGTGGAAAATCAACAGTGAATCATTCATAGGTAAACATCAAGTATGTACCTACACATACCAACAAATCAAAAGTATGTCACACAAGCTAAAGAAATCTAGGACAATTGCATCCATATTTAACAACCTAAGAAAAACTTTGCGCGTTAGTTAACATTTAAATGTGCATAGTATGTCTAAAGTAATCAATTGTGGTTGTTATTATATATATATATATATATATCTCGCTCAGATTGTTCATTTT